GTACTAAGCGGAAAACGAGAAAAAAAGGAATCCTATTTTGGGCATGGTCTTTTGTTGCATTGAGCTGTTGGTTTTCAATAGGCCCATTGCAAAGAATGACAAACCAATCATATTGCCCAAAAGAAAACAAAAACTTACAAGAACTACAATGACTGAATTTTTTAATCTCAACAAGGTAAATGTAAAAAAAAAAATTAAAGGGAGAATTCTACATGATAAAACGAACAATGTAGTAAGCTGTTTTGATAGAAATTATGTAAATTGTTGTCTTGTCTATTCAATATTATAATTTAGTGGTCCCTCAGTTACTTTATTGTCCAAAAAGTCACTAAGGTACCTATTCATACTCACCATGAACTGTTTTCACAAGTATTTGACAACTTATTCACCGTCTAAAATCATGCCAAGTACCAGTATATGCTTTGATGACAGCCACAATGAAAGTGATATCTCCCAAGGGTAACTTAGCACATCCAAAACAAACAAAATATCTCAATGATTTGCTAAGTCCAGTAGAATGATTTAGTAGCCACAGCCTGAATGTTAAATCGCTCAGGAACAGAATATTACCAATTGGCCCCTAAATTCACATGGACAGAAACAACTTGCATTAGTAAAAGGGAAAAGGTAAAGCCTACTTATGAGCCATGTGGCCCATCGGGCCGGGGCTTAACTCCAGTTTCTGTAGCATGAAGCGGCAAGGAGTAATTCTCCCCCCCCTGGATGGGGTGCTAGTCTATCACAGGGTTACCCCCAGCATTAAATTTGCCAGTACCCATTTATACACCTGGGTGAAGAGAGGCACTGTGAGAGTAAAGTGTCTTGCCCAAGGACACAACACAATGTCCCCGGCCAGGACTCAAGCCCAGACCACTCGATCCGGAGTCAAGCGCACTAACCTTGAAACCACCATGCCTCCCTAACCTTGCATTATTATAACTTCTAAATTCTATAGTGCCCCTTTGTTCTTTGAGTTTGAAAGCATGAGTGTATGAAATAAGTTAAGTTATACTTGACAAATTGTTTGCAACACTAATCTTACGTCAAGGTGGGTGTAACATCCACTTTGATCCATTTGATGCGGAACTATAATTATCTCCATCTATATCTGCTCTCAAGGCCACAATGAATCCTGTCAAAGTATCAGTATTTAAATCTTAGACTACCAATTTGAGTGGTTTGTAGTCATTAATTGATTTTACACATCATGACCACTATATCGTTAAATTATCAAACTCAAAATCTTTCATAAATTTTCTTTTTCTTCTTCAGTGGACTCCAAAGGATGATCTTGCAGCACTAAAGATCAGCGGTGAGTTACAAATATCTAAAAAAGGTGGATGAGCCATATTGTTGATATTCTTTAATAGAAAATTGCATAACTCCTCACAAGGAATATGTCTGTCAAAAGTTTACCTCCATCAAATGATTTTTGTGCTGATGTTATGTCTGGAGGTGCCAACTGCTAAATATCTACTTAATGTTAATGTCAACAAATTCAGGTGCCTTCCAAAGAAATCTTCCTAGGCATGTTTATATTAAAAAAAAAAAAAAAAGAAAAAGAAAAAATAAAACAGTAAAAAAGTTTACAAAGTGTAGATTCTGAAAATATCAAAAAATCTTCACAGTTTTTGTTTTGTTATGCATGCATGAGCCTTTTAACACAAAACTTAAGAACTGAAAGCCTCTGTGTTACTATGGACCTCCAAACATGATGGACAGTACTGAACTCAAATTTTGTTTTGGAAAAACAGTAGGAAAAGTGTGCAAAGTAAGTTATAGGAAAAGGAAACCTTAACTTTAATTTCTTCAGCTCAGGTTCTCTTTCCACCTTTTTTTGGTGTTTTGATGAACACTTATTTCTCAACATTTTGTGAAAAGTTCCACAAATTCCCTTTTGATCCACAATGCAAGACGGGTTGTTAACAAATTATAAAAATCAAGATTGTGGGGAAAAGGCCTGCAGAAATCATTAACACTCTCTAGGAGGCCTTTCTGATTATTACATTTCACTCTGTGGTACAGGTTCCCTAAAACATTCTAAAGTTTAGGTGTACATGTATTTTGTGTTCATTTTAAGATTTTACAACTTTGTGCTTGGCAAAACTAAAATTAAATGCTTTCTCTAACTAAAGAGCAGAAAAATGAAATTTTGAAAATCTTGACCAGATTTTGTTGACAGTAACCTTAATGAATATCTTTGATTTGGGATCACATTCCTTCACCAATAACTGATTATAAGGAATAGTATTAAAATAATCATTAATCACCCATTTTCTGGTAAACAGGAAGCATTTTTATTTAACGTCTCCGTGGATAAATGACTTCAATACTCTCAACCTGTTTCTCAGGTCGCTGTGATGATGTAATGGAGAGAATTATGGCTAAACTGGGACTTGTTATTCCTGACTATAAAAGGTTGGTTTAGCTTGGTACTGATTGTTTATTTCACCACTGATGTTGAAGAGAATAGAGGATAGAAGTTGTTGAAGGCTGTTTTTGTATAGAGAATGTCTTGTCATATTTTGAACAGTTTGTTTTGACAGCTTATTGAGACTTCTCTTCACTTTAAATTACAAAGTGAACTCTATTAAAAATGAACACTTGGTATGATTGTATTTGGCAGGAGTATTAATTTACCAATTTTAGCATAATATTTCAATGTCTCCTGGCAATTACTTTGACTTCCTTCTACCATAACTATGAGTTAAACGCACTGATTTAAGGTTTTACATTTTTATTTCTCTGTTTTCCTTTTTGTGGCTACTGCCTCCCGTATGTACAAATCTTATTGAGCTAACCGCCTCTCGGTTAGCTCAATTGGTTAGAAGGCTGGACTGTTGTGTGGGTGGTCGGGGTCGATGGTTCGAGCCCCAGCTGGACCAACACTCGAGGTCTTCAAAATAATTGAGGATAATGAGCTACCTTTTTATAATATCAAGAAATGGATAGACATTCTAGTCTTCTCTGATAAGGACGAATAAACCATAGGTCCCGTTTCCTGCAATCTATTAATTGGTTTATTTGGTTAGGCAGGGGACGTTAAAGAACCCACTCATGAGATTACTGTGATGTGGTCTGGCCTGTTTACTGGGAATTATGGGGAGGGGGCATCTTCAAATAAGTTTCTTTCGATTGTTTGTAAACTGCTGATGCAGTCTGGCCAAAGTCCCCCGAAAAGTATTGTGATGCGCATTTGATCAATATTAATTTGCACAATATAAATATTAAATTATTATTATGTAGGGGCAGTGCTTTCAATAAGACCCTGCACCAGCTGGAGCTCCAGCAGGTATTCTGTTGTGAGTCACCAGGTTTATTTCACTGTGCTCAAGTCACAGTCACCATGCTCAAGTTGCAATCAAGTCGCTCTCCGGCGGGTGTTGTACTGAAGTAGCCACCGATTTCAAATCTTATTGAAAGCACTGAGGGGAACCATGTTTGTCGAAGAGATGAGTGAGTGAGTGGTGTAACAATGGAATTCTGATCTTGACCCAATTTGACCTGATATTTCTCAGTGCTACTTTAATTGCTTAAATGGGGTGAACTGTGGTGCTGTGTCAGTGGGGGTAACAAGGTAATTTGGTTTTTATCAACTAGGTTGAAATTGTGAACTAGCCTCCGTAAAGATTTTAAAAGCTGACGTTTTGAGCATTAGCTCTTCATCAGAGTGAATGGAGGAATTGTTGGTTGTGTGTGTTTTTATGCAGGAAGTGGCAGGAGCTATGCTATTGGTGGGAACATGGTGATGAGAAAAACAAGAATGTATTAGTAGAATGAAAAGCATTCATAGTTACCTGTGGGATTAAGAGTGTCGATTTGAAAGAAATACTTTTGTTCAAGAGTTTTGTGGCTTTCTGAAGGACCTAAATGTAAGGAAAGGCAGCAGACTGCCATATGCTGCGTAGAATGATCTGGTAGATTAACGTATCTACTAATTGTTTTTTGCGGAGTATCTTAGTGGTTCAACATTGGCACACAATGCGTAGTTGAGTTTACACTATTTGTGATTTCTGGATTATAGCCACAAGCACATTAGGTTCAGCTCTCACCATGACACTGGAAGACAACAGAAAGGGAACAATCTCATGATTGTTTCAGGATTGTGGGTTACTTAAAACAAGTTTTCCTTACAAAAATATCTTTTAATAGGTGCGATTGGTGCATCATAAAACTAACAGGAGAATTTTTTTCTTTGAAGGGAGTGCATTTTACTGTTGAAATCAGCAAATTATGAAGATCTGATGATCCAATCTGTTTAGTTCTTTCCTTACGTGACACTACTAAAGACAATAATTTCACAGTGGCGTCCATCAAAGTATAATTGAAATCAAAACTGTTCCTTGTAGAAATAACTTAATAGGTACAATCTGCACATTATGTAAACTCTGAGGAAATTTGTTTTCTTTGAAAAAGAGCATTTTACAGTTGAAATCAGCCACTTTTGATGAAAAGGGCTGCTAAATTTACAAAGCAAGCAAGCTGCAAAATACGATATCTCAAGTTATTCAACAGAATGATGGAACAGAGGAACCTTGGAGGGACAATTGCACAAGTCTTGCTCCTGTGGTGACTGCTTTGTGGAACAAGTCTCTAAACACCCCTGTTCAATATTCAGATTTTCGGGGAATTAATGTGACTCCAGTTATAGCACGCTGTTTTGAAAGAACTGTATACCATCATTACAGTAAGAAAGTTTTTGAGGAAAATCTGACGGTCACACAATATGCCTATAGGAAGGGCTGCAGCTGTACAGATGCCTTGATTCAAATACAGCATAATTACTTAGTGGCACTTGATGATAAGGATTGTATTATAATTATGTTAGGCCTGTTGCGATGGATTTTTCAAAGGCCTTTGATTATGTAAAACACTTGTTAGTTGGGGAAAAGCTAAAGGCACTTCATCTCAATCCTTATCTTGTCAACTGGTACTTAAGTTTTCTAATAGATAGGAAACAAAGACTAATATTTAAGGGTTTTATCTACAAATGGCATTATGTGAACAAAGAAACAACTCCGGGTAGTGTCAGTGGGCCTCATCTTTTTAATTTGTTTATCATTGATTTAGCCATTAGTGATAGTGACCTTACCAGCATAGTTAAATAATGCTGATGACACTACCTTACTAGTCAAAGTATGTAAAAATGAAATAGATCTTTCTTAAGAGGTTGTCAATCAGTTTTTCAGTTGGACCCAAGATAATACCATGGCATGTAATCCCAAAAAATGTAATGAACTAATACTTTGTAAGAAGGTTGCTCGTAATATAGACCCTGTGAACAATATAACACAAGTTTCTTGTCTAAAAGTGTTAGGGGTTACTTTACAGAGTAATCACAGGTTTAATGAGCATATTAAGGGTAAGCTGCAGGAGGCCAATAAGTGTCTTTATGTGATAAGGTGTTTGCGCAAAGAGGGATGTCAACAACCAGATGTAGATTACATTTTTAGATCAATTGTTTTACCTAAACTAACGTATGGTTTACCCATATACGCCTCCTCAATACGTGAATTAACAACGGTCCAGAATTTTCTACAGTGCTGCTTTAAATGCAAATATATTTTGTACCAAATTGATATGCATAGTGTATTGGAAGAGGTTGATCACTCACTATTCAAGAAGATCTCCAGTATGCCCAGTCACCCTCTGTACCCTTCTGTCTCTAAAACGAAAGAAAGCTCAGCGTGCCTCCGAGTTCCTAGTCGTCAACTCCCTAGGGTTGATACCCAGCGTTTTAAATTTAAAATAGTTTTTTTAATAGGCTCTTTTTCAAATACAGAGTAGCTATCTAATGTAATGTCTTATATTATGTAATTATTTTTATCTAAATTTTCTTGTTTTAGCATGTATTTTTGCTTAAAAACAAAGACCTATTATTACTATTATTGGTGGAATGGCTGAATATCTTAAGACACAGAATGACAGAACATCCTAAAATTAAAGTCTCAAAAAATGGAATTGCAATTAAATTTTAAAAAATTATTTCCAATTAGCAGGGAAAATTAAAAGAAACATGGGTAATCATTGTTAGAGCCTAGAGGATAGGGGAACCATGAAGCTTTCAAGCTAGTCTTTTTAAATTATTACTATCACTTGTTATCATTATATTTATTATTGTAAATAGTATTATTTGTTACCATTTAATTATTGGTTTAATATCAATTAGACAATATAATCTTGAATGATCTTTCTCTTGTGGAACAGGGTATTCATAAGTATGAAGGATGCAGCAGGTTTTTTGTTTTGCATGTGAGAGAAATATTCTGCAACACTACCTTCTAGCCTCATTATACAACCTCTAGTTCTTTTCAATGCTACAAGAATTGTGCTATACCAGTAGCTGCGTGCTATGGGAAAGATAAATCATTATTTTCGTGTAGTATCTTTTGGGAAGGAATATGGATAAGAATGTGTCAGTGTCTCCCGATGAAATATATGAGTTATATTCATATCAAATTAAATATGTTGAATATGTATGTAATAGCCAGTAATTTGATTACTTTAGAATGTCATACACTCAAAATTTCAAAATAAATCATGCATACTTCAGCTCTTTAAATAAATGACATGGGTACTTCCCATATTCTTCGCTTGTGTATACTTTTACTGTTATGAATTTTTGTTTTTTAGTGAATGCATGATTATTGTGATATGAGCTAACCCGTGTTTCTTTTTGTTATCCTGTAGATGTAAAGACTCTCTTTTCACTCTCTCAACGCCACTGAGGCCCCATGAATTGGACACTTTTAGCACCAAATGCTTAACTGTGACAGTCCAGCAATGTAATGAGTCCCTTGAATATGTTAAAACTGATTCTGTGGTAACTGAAGAACATGAATGTAATAGCTGTGAGGACAATAATTCATTTAGCTGTAAAACTGAGAAAGGTGTTCTCTCAAATCCTAAACATCCAGGTTGGTTTGGTAAAGGATTAGCAAAGGTCAAGAGACCCAGAAAGAAAAGGAGGCTGAGATGATGATTACTCATCAGCACTTAATTATGGAATCATGCTGTTAGTATTTCTATACAAGAATTTGTTTCAGTGGGATACTTTTTGTGGTCGTCTATTGAATAGGCTTCTAATGTACACAGATGGCAAACGCATAACAAGAGTGGAAAGTACTACACAGTGGTCAAACATCTAGATATAGGCAAGAGTGCTATTGACTTTGAGGTGGTCAGAACCAAGCTGTCTCAGAGGAGATACAAAAAAACACACAAACCAGGATGTCACACTGTTTTAAAACCAATAAAGCTCAAAACAAAATGACAAGTCATCAGAAAATCTGTTATTTATTAAGTTTTGGGTTTGATACGTCTTGTTTTCTTTTTATCTTCTTTTGTCTGCTTTATCAGTCTCTGCGCACATTTGCTTTTTTCACAAATTTGTTTTGTTACAGCAGTTTCTTACATTTTACATTAGTGTGGCTGGCCACTTGTCCTTTTACCTCACAAAACTCAAAAACCACCATTTGTTTGATTCAGCACCAATAATTACAATGTTCTAACACCTAAGGAAATGATCGACATGCAAGAAGCCTAATAAATAAATTAACACGGATAGCCAAGTTCAAGTAATACATGAAAAACTATTAGACAAGAATGATTGTCAGTTTGCATAGTCCCTTACAGAGAAAAGATGAGGTTTCGTTAGTTTCCAAATGTTTTGCAAAGGTAAAATGTTGGGAGTTTCTTTTCTGAATACGTAAAGAAATAAAGAATCGCAGAGGATGTACATTGGTAAATTTGTCTTGGTACCAACCTCAATAAAGAAGCAACTGGTTGTGGAGCTAATGAAAGTAAGCCTCAGAGTGTTCACCATGGGCTATAGTCAGAGGACAATTCTAAAAGTTTGACTTGACTTTAATGGATGTTGCATCAGGCCTCTCCCTAATTTAAGCCCACAGAAATGCTCCTGTTGGAAGAAAGGAGTGAAACAGAAAGAGGAGGACAAAATACCTTAAATGCGAAGGAAGCTCATTGCAGGAACAGTACCTCAATATTACCTCCCTTTCAGTTTGAGAAAATTCAATTTTGGTTGTCCAGAAAACTTTCCACTGAAAATAGCCAGTCAATCTTTTCTTAACATTGAATCCCAAAACATATCGATGTGTGAAACACTTTGACACCCAAGCTAGTTCCCCTATTCTTTTCTCCCATATCTTGCCTGCCTGGATATGACAGGGGTCATTCAGACTTCATGACATTTCCACAAATAAACATCGATGTAAAATTACGTTTAAAGCTAAATCAAATTGCTTGAGAAAATAATCAATCAATTTATTGTGGACCATAAACCCTTTAATTCCCTGAAGTGATTAACAAGTAACCTCTCGTACTATTAATTAATTATCCAACAAATTGGTAATGAGAATACTCGAATTTATCAAGTGGAAATCGTTATCTTGATCTAATCAAATTCTGGTAACTCATTCACAAGAATACGTGCAGCAGCAAGAGAGGAGAATTAACAGTAAAACATTTGTAGTAAAAGGGTTAAGACCATTTTTTTAAAAGCCGTTGGACCATTTTATCCAGTAATATCTTTTTAACTGATTGGACTACTTTCACCAGTCGGATCATTTCTTTCATAACACAGTTTCTTCCAGTTGGACCATCTTATCTAGCTGGACCAAACATTTCTACCATCAGTTGGACCACTTACTATGCTTTACCGTCTAGACTGGTTGGATTGTTTAAGCCAGTTGGATCGATTTAAGTGGTTGGATCCCTGTAAATAGTTGGACCTTTTTAACGAGTTGGAAAATTTTTTCTGGTTAGACTATTTTGTGCAGTTGAACCATTTTATCTAGTAAGACAATTTTAAGCCATTGGTCATTTTATTGAGGTAGCCCTTTTTAACTAGTGTGGCAATTTTTAACCATATGGATTATTTCTACAAGTTTGACCATCTTACCCGCCGAGACCACTCTCGCCAATTCGACCATTTTTATCAGTTGTACATACCAAGCCATTTTAAACAATTGGATCGTGTCAACCAGTTAAAGCTATTTATACCCCATCCTAACGAGCTGGACCATTTTACTAAGTTGGGACCATTCTTCCTAGTAAACCCATTTTAGATGGTTGGACCGCCTTTCTAAGTAAACCATCTAACCTATTTGACCATTTCAACTAGTTGGACCATTTTACCTAGTTGAACCAATTTACGAAGTTAAACCATTTTATCTAGTTAGACAATTTCAAGCTGTTGGTCAACTTGCAAGGTACATAATTTTAAGCAGTTGGACCATTTTAACTGATTTGATCATTTTCACAAATTTGACCATTTAAACTAGTTTCACCATTCTATAGAGGTAGAGCAATTTAATCAATTGGCCTACTTTAACAAGTTGGATCAGTTTAATTAATCAGGCCCCGGTTGTTCGAAGGATGGATAACGCTATACACTGGATAAATCTCTGTCCGTTGGATAGCGCAGTACGTTTTGGTAACGCTTATCCGCTGGATAGTGATTTATCCGTTGGATAGCGTTATCCGCTCTTTGAACAACAAGAGCCAGACCATTAAAGGCATTTGGACCAATTTATCTCAGTGTAAGATCATTCTAGATGAGTGGACTAACTTAACCAGTTGGATCATTTTCTCTAATAAGACCTTTTCCACCAGTTGGACCAGTTTATCTAGTTAGACCATTAATGATTTTAAGAGTGACTTTTTTTCAAGACCATCCGGAGAGGTGGCACATCGCCCGAAAAATGACTATCCTTATATTTCGGTCAGAGATGCCTTATGGTGAACTTAGAAGCATGATAAAGTTTTTACCCCAGACTTGCTTCTTTATCCTAGAAAGGTAAGGAAAACTGAATTTCGTAGCAAATTTTCAATTATCATTTTCCCCAACTAGTATAACTCAGAATTGGTTCAGGTTAAGCTCATGATAAGTGGAAAAAGTGCTGTTTTCGAGGATATAAAAATTAGTTTAGGGCTTTTCAAAGTTTGACTTTTGCAACCATTTTATCTAGTTGGAAGGACCCATTTCTACCACCAGGTGGACCTTTTTACATGTTTGACTATTTCAACCACTTGGATCATTTTAGCTAGTTACCCCCACCTCAACCAATTCGACCATTTTGACGAGTTGTACCATTTTTTCTAATCAAAAAAATTCATGTGGTTGAACCATTACTTAGTGAGCCAATAGAAATCAGTCTGACCTTGCAATCTAGGTACATCATTTTAAGTAGTTGGGTCTTTTAACTGTTCCAACCATTTTGAGAAATTGAAACATTTCAACCCGTTGGTCATTCATCATGTAAAAGCGATGTAACCCGTTTGACCATTCTAACTGTATCTTTTTAACTTGTTAAGCCATTTCTACAAGTTGGACCATTTTATCTAGTAACGTCATTTCAACTGCGTGGACCTTTATATTTTCAGTTTCACTCTTTGAACTGGTTGGATCACTTTAACCAGTTTGGCCACTTTCATGCAACGGTTGCATTTTTTTTCTCGACCAGTTGGACCATTTTGACTCATGCGACCATTAAAACAAATCAAAAACATTTCAACTACTTGGACTGTTTTCTCTAGTACAACCAACTTAACTCATTTAACCATTCTAACCGTTTGGATAATTTTTAACTAGGTGGACCATTCTCTGTAGTAAGACCATTTTAACCCATTGGACCATTTTATTATAATTGTTGGACCATTTTTTCTGGTTAAACATTTTTTAACTGGATGGATTTTCACCAGTTAGACCAATTAAATTGTTGTACAATTTTAACCGGTTGGACAAATTTATCTAATTAGGCTATTTTAACCGGTAGGATCGTTTTTCTAGTTTCACCGTTTTAACCAATTGGATCATCCTAACTAGTGAGACTATTTTCTTTCGCTATACTATTTATTGGCACATGAACCATTCTAGTTACTCAGGCTATTTGCCCCATTTGAACGTTTTGTTCTCGTTTACCAGTTGAACCATTTCCTTTATTTAGACCATTTACCAGCAGTTGGACTAAGTTTCAACGTTCAACGTTTTATCAAGTATGATCATTTTAATCATTTTGGCCATTTTTATCTATTTCCACTGACTGACTCCAGTTTATCCAATGGGAGTAACTTTTTGGTTGACTTTAACTACTTGGAGAAATGTTCACCTAATTAGCCACCGGTACCACCTTAACAAGTTGGACCATTAATTTTATCTAGTTAAATCATTTTAAGACATGGACCGTTTAAACCAGCAAGACCAATTTATCTGGTTATACGATTTTAAGTGCTTGGACCATTTTGTGGGAAGATTTTAAGTCGTCGGATTATTTTAACGAATTTGACTAATTCAGCTAGTTGAACTTTTTTCTGTAGTTACTTTACTTTAACCAAGGTGGTGTGTCCCGTCGAATCATTTGTAATGGCTGGAGCTTTGTATCTTTTTATACCACGATTTTTTTATACCACGATTTATATACACGATTTTATACCGCTTCTTTTGAAAGCAATAGGACCATATCATCAAGTAAAGTAATCTTAACTGATTGGATCTTTCTAACAAGTTGGATCATTTTATTTAGTTGGACCATTTTTGCAGATTTTATCAAGGTAGTCCATTTTAAGGGATGGGACCATTTTGTCTTGTTGACCATTTTAACTGGATGGGCCATTTTACTTGGTTTGACTATTTTAACCATATGATGCACTATATTAACTAGTTGAGGTATTTCATCTATCACATCATTTTAAGCAATTGGACCATTTTAGTTAGTTAGAGCATTTAAAAGAGTTGGGAGTTTTTATCTAGGTAATCGATTTTAACCCGCTGGTATATTTTAATTGGTTTCACTCTTTTAACCATTTTAACTGGTCAGATCTGTTTTAGCTGGTTGAATCTATTTTAGTATTTGGACCATATTATTTAGTTAGACCCTTTTAAGCGGTTGGATTATTTTTTTTTTGGTTGACACTTGCGACCAATTCGATCACTTCAAGACAATTTTTCTCCATTTCTATCCCAAAACACTCACCATTTGTAACGGAAAAACCACTGTAGCGAGGTTAGTTTGTTTTTATTCAAAATTAGATCTTTTTTTTTTTCAGGTCCAGATCACAAGTGTTTATTGCCGTAGAAATCTTTATATTTCGCCTATTGCGCGACGTAAACTGATTTGTATATTTAAGGAGGTTCGGTGTGCGAGCTTGGGCTACCTGTCGATATCCAAAGCACTAGTGATTTCCTTTTCATCAGTGTTTTTATTGGGCATAAAGGTTCACGCATAAAGAGAAAACAAATCAGCACAATAAAATAACTTTTATTAGTACTTTTATTAGCCTTAATACAAGTTTATTTTCACTCATTAGCGAACAACCCCTGGACAAATTTTACTCGGCCGGAACGGAGTTAAACATTTGTTAGCATCCATATTTGTCAAATCTGTACCTAAGGGAAATTCAGGATAATCTTTAAAAGCACCACCTGGATCAAGTACTGAAGATTAAAGATTTCTTTTTATCTGCCATTCTTAAAATATTTAAGTCAGTCATTTTGTTTTGTAACGTATTGTGGATTTGGGAGTACTCTCTTCTAAAACCTTTGAATTTTCTCCAGTTTTTGGGGTCTGCTACATTTACCAGCAAATATGACTGAGCACAACCAAAAAAGAATTAAATTGACAAATTTTTAGTTTGCATGGCTCACATAATCTCAAGGGAAATTCGGGCCCTCAAAGAAAATATCCTAATTACTAATAGCAGAATAAATAGTTTTAGAAAACATATAAAAAAAAGTAGTGTTTCATCGCTGTATCCAGACACCTCGAAACAGTGATGCCCTTGGCGTACGGTCTCGTACTATCATCTTTTTCGCGGTGTCTGGATACCCCTATGCTCTCACCCTCGTTGTTGAATATTGCATCAAGAATGGCGGAGATAACCAGTTGTGCCGTAGTTGTCTATTTTTCAATTTTTTCCTCTTACAACCCTCTCATCAACACTTTCTTCTTTTTATAGGATGCGGCATTTATTCTAGAACGGCGTATAGTCGAGTAAAACGATTCACAAGGATCGAAGAAAAAACGACTTGGAAGCGAAAAAACGAAGAAAAAAACCACGCTTGTGAAAAATAACTAGTACTTGAAAGAAGGAGTCCCTCTCTTTTCTTCTTGGAACAAGTGGTTTCGTTCCAATAATTATACCTTGCTCTCAACACTGTTTAAATTATCCAACGCATCCTGTAGGCGTTCCGTTTCAACACACAAAAATTGTTCAGCAGAGTCGAAAATGTAGGTGTCTCCGTGTAGGTCATTCCACTTTTCCCTAGCTGCATCTTTTGACGACTTGTTTAGTTGGTACCGGAAATGAGGTCTCTCTTCGAGTATGATTTCCCGTATAAGTTCTGTTACTCTGTGTAAATCAAAGTTTTTCACAGACCTTTGTCTCCTCATTTTCGCTGAACATGAATCTTGATACTTTTTGGTGTGGTCATCAGCATTTTCCATTTTAGACCGGATAGAAACTTGTATCGTTTGGGCCGTCTTCTCTTCACCTTTAATCATACTTGTTTCAACAATGGAGCAACTACAACAATTAATTGATGCAACATTAATAATCATGTACGTCTGTCAGGGCATTTAGCTTGCGAAGTTATTTAGATTCCATTCCAGCTCTAGTAAGGTCGATACTTCTAATGTATATAAATAATCATGGTATAGACATAAAAATAGATAGACATATATTCAATAAATAAATATTTCATAAATTGCTCAGAAAAAAATGTGTCTCTTCTTCCAAAGTTAGAGAGAGACACAGCTGTGGGAAACCCAATTCTAAAGTTAAAGAGTTAGACAATGTTCTTTTTGTTTACAGGTATAGCTCAAGTACCTGAGCATCCGATTATTTTTCATCATGGGGTGAAATTTCGAGGGAGGGAAATGATGCCCACGTTACCCTTGGATTATAGATCAACAGAACGGATATTGGAACAGCGTCAATTTCTATTCTGTCGCTCTTATTTTTGTCACGTTGTGTTCGTGATGTTTTAAATTCCATTCTGCTAATGTAATTTCAATTCTGTCTTCCTAAACTTTATACTGTTCGTTCAATTTCTGTTCTAGTGTTTTCAGCAAATAATTTAGAAACTACACAGGAACATAACAGATTCAAACAAGACTTTGGCGGCGATGACCCCTCATATGTTCGCACTTGTGCTTAAACATTCAGCGATTCTGAAATGTTATCTTGATTTCTGAGTAAAACTTGACAGGCGTCTAAGGTCTTTTTCTTTGAAAATAAGTTATTTAACTAGTCTTCTTTCATCTGAGTTCTTTTTTTGAGAAAAGGTGATTCCAGAAATATTTACTGCGCGTTATGTTTTCTTTTCTCGTTTTGAACCCCTAGACAGCGAAACATCTAGGAATCAAAGTATTACTGCCTCATTATTCCTCTTGTTTTTTTTTTGTTTTTTTGTTTTTTTGTTTTCCTTTTTTTTAAGGGGACAACTGTCCAATAGCTGAGTTTTATTTTCGGCTTAAGCCAAAGGCGGCATAATTATACCAATTTGACCCGTAAATTACAGTCACTTTCGCCGTGGTTGTCTCTCGCGTGATCATTACGGAAGACGAGTTTTTCTACTCTGGCGCGAGCAAGAACCACCATGGCGTGAAGCGCAGCCCGTGTGCGCGGTGGCAATAGCAAGCACCGTCAAATGGAAACACTAGACATCTCGAGATAGCCCGGTTCCGGGTACAGGTACGGGTAGGATTATCCGTACCAGTACTCTGTTACATGGGAAACCAACTTTAACATGCGAAGGGGTAACGCTGTTCAAAGTAAAAGAAGGGCGGAACAAGTGTGTACAATACAAAGGGCAATTCTCATTGTACCCGAGGATCTAAGACTAGAAGGCGAGTTTATTACTTTTCGTGCGTCTTGTTTAATTCAGAGTTCTCTCTGAATTCTTATTATTGAAGAAAATATATGCAAACAAGCATCCATTTCAGAAGCAGGATTCCTTTGGTTACAAACTAGGAATATTTGGTCGTTTTTCATATCAATGATCAAAGACAAACGTGCGAAGCACGCAAAAGCGATGAAGCTTCTTCTTGTGGACCCTTGTGCAAGCCAAGGCTTGCCATGATTTGAAGAGATGTCAAATAGTTTCGCTATGACGGAACTGTTTTGCCATAGGTTGGTTTGGTACAGAACGTAGTCGATTC